AAAATTTGAAAATTTTCTAATATTAATTTTTTTAGTGACATAGAAGAAAATATAACAAATCTTAGTGGTTTTAACACAGAATTAATTATAAAAGCAACTGTAAAATGTTTGGATATAATAAAACCAGGCCTTGGATTATCAACAGTTTTACCTATAAATATGGCAGCCAGATTTCGATTGGGTGCTACACTTGCTCAAGCATGTTTAGTAAGATTTTATAAATATAAAAATTTCAATTATTTATATAATTTTGTTTTTTTTTTTGATGTCTTTATTATAACTTTATAAATTTAGGAATTAGGATACAAAGCTGATGTTGGTTATCAAACATTTTTATATAGTTCAGAAACAGATTTACGAAAAGTTTTTATGTTTCTTATTGAAAAATTACCAAAAGAAAGTGATAAATCTTTAAGTGAACCTGTTAGTAATATTGTATTATTAGAAAAATCTATAGCAAGAGCAATAGCACAAAGTCTTTCTGCTCCATGGTTACCACATTATTGTCATACAAAGGGATTTAGAAACAAAGGAAGAGCTAGAATTCCATATAAATCTGTAAATTTAGAAGTTTCAACAGTAAGGAAGGAAGAAAATAAAGAAGGTAATATTGCTTTTATTTTTACAATGAATTTCATTATTATATTATTATAATATTATTATAATAATATTTTTGATTTTTCTTGTTATAGAATATCAAGATTATTGTATACATTATTTGCAATCTGTGCCTGAACAAATGCAAAATGAAATGACACTTCTACCATCTTTGATATCCTACAATGCAAGAGCTCTCCATTCACATTCAATGAGTATTCTCGATCAAATAAATTGGTTAAATGAACAATATTGTGATAAAATTACTGAAGTTAATGAATCTAGTGACATTAATATTTTAAATAGAGTCCCAATACAAGACAAAACATTATCTTCTAATGTAAATTTAAGAAAAATGAATAAAATAATGTTTATAATTTTATTATATTATATTTATATTATTTTATTAATTTTTTATTTATTTATCATAGGAACTTCAAATAGAAAATAATAATGCTAAAGAAATTAAACTTGTAAAACAAAAAATAATAGATAAAACAGAAAAACAAGATTTACAAATAGAAAAAATAAAAACAGAGTGTGAAACTATTAAAAAAGATATAGAAGAATTGCAAGTTACAATTAAGAACTTAACAACTAGTGTAACACAAGCAACAATAAATTATCAAAATGAGGAAAAAAAATTAACAATCAATGAAGAACAAAAAAAGATTAAAGCAAGAATTTATGATCTATTTCAAGATGGTGAAGAAAATATTAAGAAACTAGAAACAGCTATTGAAGCTACTACAAATAAATTAATTAATTTAGGTAATCAATGGGAAAAACATAGAGTACCTCTAATTCAAAAATACAGACAAGAAAGGGAAAAACATTCTACTAAAGCTGTAAGTATTATTCTATATATAAAAAATATAAATATAATATAAATATCAATAATATAAATTTATTAAATGAAAAATTTGATGAATTTGATTATTATATATAGAATGCAAGTCAAAAGAAACTTGATGATATTAAGTTACTAAAAGAAAAGGAAAGGGAACTACAAGAAGAATGTCGCAATAAAGATCAACAATATTCACAATTGGTAACAGAAGTTCAGAAACTTTCAAAAGAAGTGAATAGGTCCGCATATACTCAACGAATTTTAGAAATAATTAACAATATTAGAAAACAAAGAGACGAAATTAGTAAAGTATTAGTTGATACACGAGAAATCCAAAAAGAAATTAATACACTTACAGGCAGATTAGAAAGATCCTTTACTGTTGCTGATGAATTAATATTTCGAGATGCAAGAACAAATGAAGCATCAAGGAAAGCTTATAAATTATTAGCTACACTTCATTCTGATTGTAGTGAACTTGTAAATTTAGTAGAAGAAACAGGTGCAACTATAAGGGAAATAAGAGATTTAGAAGAACAGGTAATTAAAATATACAAATATAGCAAAATAATATAGCAAATAGCATTATAATAATTAATTATAATTTACATTATTACAAAAATATAGCAAATAGTATTACAGTAATTAATTATAATTTACATTATTTATAAAACATTGAAACATGATATAATTAAAATGTAATTCTTTTTCTATTTCGTTTTAGATTGATTCTGAAGCTACAAAAAATATTGGAGCAAATTTAGAAAGGATAACTGCTGATTTGAAACAAATGAAACAAGAAACAGCCGAATTAACAGCACAATTACAAAATAAAAATTCGTGATTTTGATATAATCTGTGATATTACAATGTATTATTTAGAATAACAACGACCAGGTAAAAATTTTATTAATGTTGAAAGAAGAATTTGCAAAATTTTAATAAAAAAAATATTTTATAATATGAAATATATATTGAAACACTTACAAACCATACAATTATATTATTTACAGGACATTCCATATAAATATATGAATGAATACATTACAAAGACTAAATTTTATAGTTATAGCAAAATTTAATATATTGCTGCTTATAAAACAGTCTTTGTAAATTTAGGAATAATTGTTAAATGTGTGCCTTGGCCCAAAGTAATATAATGTTAATTTTGTTTATAGAAGGGCCAAGTCTGTGACAAATTCAATATCAATGCTCAAATGGAACATTATTTGTTACAGAGCCTAATAATTTTTTAGTATATAAACTATATTAATTGTACAGTTAACTTTCATATTTATACGAAATAAGTGACTTGGAATTATCTATTATAAATTTATGTAATGAACATTTGAGGAAATACTTTTAAGTTATGATGTACAAAATACAAGAAATGAGTAACAATATATATTTTTGATTCTTACTATGACCCTTTTTTTTTTCAATATTAAATAATTTATCAAATAATATTTTAATTATACATTTATTACTTATAACAATTATAAATATATCAAAAATTGCTTTCTTTAACTTTAAATCGTAGGTGGTATATATTCTTTTTCTTTTTCTAATTTTTTCAGCTTCTTCTTAGCATGAGGCATTTTAAGAACATGTTCCATTTTTTTCTTTTCGAATTCTTCTATTTCCTCTATTTGCAGTTCTATTTCTTCTTCATTCTCAAAGAAAGTCAAAAATCGTTCTTGCTTTTTCATTTCTTCTTTTAATTTCTCTATTTCTTCTTTTTTAGCTGTTCGATTTATTTCTTCCATTTGTTTATCTAATATTAATTGTCTCTGTTTTTCCCATTCTACATATTTCTAAAGAATTAAGTAAAATTAATTAATAAATAAAATCATAAATAATAAATTTAATTATTTAATAATTTAATATATAATATTAAATTAAAATAAAATAATATTATATATTATTAATTAATTAATATTCTTTTTTTTGTATTTTATAAAAAAATATTGATTACCTGCATTTGTTCATTTATATCAATATCATGCTGTTTTTCAATTGCAGATTTGATATTATTTTCTAATACATTAATTAAATTATCTGTACACAAATTTTTTTCTTTTATCAAATTAACTTCTGACATTAAAATTTTAAATTCATCTGTTTCTTGTTCTTGGAATACATTTTTTTTGTCTTTTTCAATCAAATCAAAAACTTCTTTGTAAACAATATTTCCTTCAATTTCATTTATCCATTGTTTTATTAATTTTAATGCATCTTGATATTTTTTATATAATATTAAACCTCTTAATTGACATGTTCTTCCTAACTCATTATTCATAAATTTTCCTTGAAAAGCTAATGTTTTTCCAACTAAATCATATGGATCAGTAAGATCAAAATGGTCATCAAAAAAAGGATTTCTAAGATAAGCTACACGTATTTTAATTTCTTCTTTATCATCTTCTATAGGTTCTGGTGGTTTCTGCCATTTATTTGGATTTTCTAAATATTTGTGACAAGCATATACAGATAATGCATTGGTTATCAAATGTTCAGATTCTTCTTGTAACATAGGTAAAATAGCAACTTTTGCAGCATTGGCATAATCTTGTTTTTTTATGTATGTATCCATGAGTATGTTATAAGTGACATAATCAGGAAAAATACCATAATTAAGTCTATTATGTAATACATTCATAAGTTCTTCAGTATAATTGTTATCTAATAAATATCTTATGACTGCATGATGTGTTGAATCTAATATGTTCGATGCTTCTGTACTTTTCCTTAATTTTTGGAGTAGACTCAATAATTCTTCTACTTGATCCTCTTTATTTAAGCTATTTGCAAATATATCTATATCTACTGCACTAACTATTTTATCAATATGAAATTTATTATCCAAAATAATAAATAAATCGTTTGATTTAAATTTTTGTAGCAATGGCGATTGTAATCGATTTTTCCATGCTTCTTCACATCGGTATGCTTCTGATAGAAAAAATCGCTTTTGTGTTACAATCTTTCGAAACCCATTGTATGCTATTTTATTAAAATTAAATATTTTTAATATTTTATGTTCCATTTTTTTTTTGTTAATAAATCATATTCTTACAAGAATATAGTTTAGAACTTCTATTTTTACATAAGTTAAAAAAGGTTATAATTATTTAAATAATTACAATGTATGAAAGAAACTTTTTTAGTTTTTAAATTTTATAGAGTAATAAAAATGTTAAAATTATTAATAATTTTTTATGGTTTTCCCATTTATATTTTATATATTATTTTTTTATTTTTAAAAATTTTAAGAACACTCAACATAAACACATCTGATTCGATGAGTTTAATTGTCTACGTATGTAGTTTTTTAAAATTGAATCAAATGATTTAAATCTTTTTGAAATATTAGAAATTTACTAAATATTGTATAAAAAAAAAATTAAAAATAAATTACTATTAATCAGAATCGCGAATAAAAAATAAAAGGTTACGATTTTTAATTTAACCCTTTTAAATCATATAGCTATTCAATCACTTTACTAAAGATATTATATACGAAATTATAGAAGTTGTATCAATTGTTCACTTTATAGCTTAAAGAAAAAATTAGAAAGAATAAAATATATATATTAAGTTAAAATTATTTCTTAATAATATATTATCTGGAAGATAATACATATTCTAGTATGGTGAGAAACATAAATAAATTTGGAAATTATTACGATATAAAGGTTATATCGTTCATGATACACAACAGTTGCAAAGCCGAATTCGAAATTTTTTCAGTATTCCTTACTTAATAAAACAGAAAATGCTCACGAAGATAGTATTTGGACCTGTGCTTGGGGCTGTTTGAAGAAGAAAAAGGAATCACAGCCGGATAATGAAGATTCACGGTAATTACTTTTTATGCAATTTTTAATATTTTTATATTTTTTATACAATTTTTCTTATTGTATAATAGTGAATCAATACAATTTAATGAAGATGAAATAGTGGAATATTTAGTCACTGGCTCAGTTGACGATACTGTTAAAGTTTGGGAACAAAAGGATAAAAGTTTACAATTAAAACATAAATTAACTGGTCACTCACTTGGAGTGGTATCTGTTGCTGTAAGTTCAGATGGTTCAAGTAAGTATTAATAAAAAAAAAAAAATAAAGTAAATGTTAAAATAAAAAAATGAAACATATTTATTTTTAGAATGTGCATCAAGTTCATTAGATTCTAGTTTAAAATTATGGGATTTGGAAACAGGAAATAAAATATCAAGTATTGAAGTAGGCCCTGTAGATATTTGGACAGTAGTATTTTCCCCAGATGATAAATTCATTGTATCTGGTAGTCATTCAGGGAAAATACATTTATATGGAACAGAAAGTGGTAAACAAGAACAAACTTTAGATACCAGAGGTGGTAAATTTACATTGAGTGTTGCCTATGTATGTATTTTAAAAATGTATATTACATAATTTTATTATGTAGAAATAATAATTTTTATATTATATAATTATTTCAGAGTCCTGATGGTAAATATATTGCTAGTGGTGCAATAGATGGAATTATAAATATTTTTGATGTTACATATGGAAAAGTATTGCGTACATTGGAAGGTAATAAAAATTTATTTTCTTAAATATTTGTTAACAATTTATTAATAATATATAAATTTAAATATTTTAGGACATGCAATGCCTATTAGGTCTCTTTGTTTCTCACCAGATTCTCAATTACTTCTTACCGCATCAGATGATGGACATATGAAATTGTATGATGTGTAAGTTCAAAGTTCAAAGTTTCAACCAAAATAAATTACACATATAATTATGAAACATTTATTATATTTTTATTTTATTATATAGGAAAGATGCTAATTTAGCAGGAACTATGTCAGGTCATGCTTCATGGGTACTTGGTGTTGCCTTTGCTCCAAATGGTCAACAATTTGCATCTAGTAGTTCAGATCATACAATTAAAGTGTGGGAACTAGCTCAAAGACAATGTTTACATACATTTAATGAACATAATGATCAGGTGAGATATTGTATTGTATTATAAGCAATATTATAGAATTTTTATCATAAATTTATAAGATGGAAAAAATTTGCAAAATTTTTATTATGGAATTATAAAAATTTAAATATTTTTTTTTTTTAGGTATGGGCTGTAAAATACAATCCACAAAGAAATAACATAATTGCATCAGTATCTGAGGATAAATCTATTAATCTTTATGAATGTCCATTATATGATAAATAAATTTTTCTTAAATAACTATGTATTTTATATATACAGGTAGTTATAAAAATATGAGACATCTTTGGCGGATGGATTTGCGAGATCAAAAGATAAAAAAAATATAGGCATGCAGGTGCAATAAGATTTAGTTATTAAATTATAAGTATTTCAAGTTTACATTTAATAAAATAACAGCACTAAGTTAAGAATGCCTGCAGTGAAACTCAACGAAAAATATTATTCTTTTAAATATACAAATAACTATTTTTTAATTTTAATATAACGTAATAATTTAATGATTTAATAATGTAATATACAATATATATAAATATCGTGTAATATAATTATGCAACA